TGGTATTGGGTATGGGGCCAGCACTGGAGAGGAATGGACAAATGTAGTGTATTTTGGTGACTGGGGGAGGAATTGAGGATGACTCCAAGGGTGATCTGGGTACCTGAGTGGGTGAATGCATGGTGGTATCTTATCTTTTTCTCTGTTGAAGACTGGAAGAAAGAACAGGTTTCAGGGAGAAAAGTCAAGGGTTCCTTCACATGACATGTTCTCCAACCAAACTTCCATATACAGATCCACATTTTCCCAACTTCTTGCCTTTTTAAAAATAACATTCTCCCTACCGAACATGCCCTTTTTCCTCCCTTTTGACCCACCCATCCCTAGCAACCCATCTTTCAAAGCTGCCTCTAAAACTCTCCCCTGATTGACTCCTCATCCCTCTGATCTCCTAAGTTAAATAACTCATTCCTCTGAACTTCCTGGAACTTTATATCTACCTCTCTTTTTTCTACATTGCATTAAATAATATACATACAATAAGTCCTTTTTTTTTTTTTTTTTGAGTTGGAGAACTTTGTCGCACAGATTGGAGTGCAGTGGCACACTCCTGGTCATCGCAGCCTCAACCTTCTGGGCTCTGGCGATCCTTGTGCCTCAGCCTTCCAAGTACCTGGAACTACAGGTGCATGCTACCATGCCCAACTAGTTTTTGCTTTATTGTGGAGATTAGGTCTTGCCAAGTTGCCCGGGTGGGTCTTGAACCCGCGGGCTCAGGCAATTCACTTGCCTCGGCCTCCCAAAGTGCTGGCATTACAGGCTGAGCCACCGAGCCCAGTCTAGTCCTCTCTTAAGGTTGTCCATAGGTTCTTGGAATCTGTGACTTTAAGAGAAACAACACATAATGAAACCCATTTTACCATGGGCTAATTGATATAAACAAGAGTTAAGTTCCTATGGCATATTTCTGGTCCCCAAAACACTTCTAATATTAAACATTGAAATAAATGTGAGATATACATACATTTAAGAAAGATTAACAAAATTAAGTAAGATAATTATTTATCCAGTTATTCCAACTCATAGGCATGGGTGGCCAGAGCCTATGCTGGCAGCTCACAGCACACTCATACCCACACCCACACCCACACTCATTCAGACTGAGACATGCTAATTAACCTAACATGTACATCTTTGGGATGTGGGAGGAACCTGGGGTATCCAGAGAGAACCCACACAGACATAGGGAGAACTTGCTAACTCCACACAGACAGTGGCCTTGGCAGGAAATTGATTTTTTTTTCTCTCATCATTATTACAAAACAATGTTGAACAAAATGAAGTTATTTGAGGACATGCTGTGTGTGTGTGTGTGTATATATATATATAGAGAGAGAGAGCTATCTCAGAATGTAAGCTGTTTGTCTCATCTACTTTTTTTTATTTTAAAGTTTTGTTTTTAAATAGTGACAGGGTCTCGTTGTGTTGCCTAGGCTGGTCTCAAACTCCTGGACTCAAGCGATTCTCCTGCCTCAGCTTCCCAAAGTGCTGGGATTACAGATGTAAGCCACTGCGCCCAGCCTCGGCTATCTTTTTATATTCAATAGTATTGTACTACAGTGTTTTTACTGATACAAATATTCTTACATATTTATGGGGTACATGTGATAGTAAATGCTTAGAAAATATAATAATCAAGTCAGGGTATTTGAGGTGTCCATTACCTCAAGTAGTGATCATTTCTATGGGTTGAGAACATTTCAAGTTCTCTTTTCCAGGTATTTTGGAATAGACAATAGATTGTTGTTGACTGTAGTCACCATACTCTGCTATTGAACATTAGAGCTTATTCCTTGTATCTGCAGGTTTGAACACATTAACCAACCTCTCTTTACCACACCCTCTCCCACCCATACATCCTTCCAAGTCTCTGGTTTCTATCATTCTACTCTCTACCTCATGCAATCAAATTTTAGTTCCCAAATATAAGTGAGAACATGCGATATTTGTCCTTCTGTACCTGGCTTATTTCACTTAACATAATGACCTCCAGTTCCATCCACGTTACTGCAAATGATGGGATTTCATTCTTTTATCTGACTGAAGAGTACTGTGTATATATGCCACCTTTTCTTTATCAATTTGCTCATTGGTAGACACGGGTTGATTCCAACTTTGCTATTGTAAATAATGCTGTAATAAACATGAGAGTGTGCCAGACTCGGTGGCTCAGCCTGTAATCCCAGCACTTTGGGAGGCCGAGACGGGTGGACTGCCTGAGCCCTCAGGGGTTCAAGACTCGCCCAGGCAACTGGGTGAGACCTTGTCTCTACAATAAATCAAAAATTAGCCAGGCGTGATAGTGTGTGCCTGTAGTTCCAGCTACTTAGAAGGCTGAGGCGGAAGGATTGCCGGAGCCCAGCAGGTCGAAGCTGCGGTGGCCGGGCGCGTGCCACTGCTCTCCAGTCTGGGCGACAGAGTGAGACTCCGACTCAAAAACAAAAACAAAAACAAAACAAAAAAACATGAGAGTGCAGATATCCCTTTGACATATTGATTTCCTTTCCTTTGGATAAATACCCAGAAGTGGGATTGCTGGATTTTATGGCAGTTCTATTTTTAGTTTTTTGAGAAATCTCTATACTGGTTTCCACAGTAATTGTACTAATTTACACCTAGTGTGTAAGTGTTCCTATTTCTCCATATCCTTGCCAATATCCATCAATACCTGTTTTTTGTCTTTTTGATCAAAGTCATTTTAACTGGGGTAAGATGATATCTCATTGCTGTCTTGATTTGTGTATTCCTGACTAGTGACATTGAACATTTTTTTCATATACACATTGGCTATTTGTATTTCTTCTTTTGAGAAATGCCTATTCATGTCCTTTGCCCACTTAAAAAACTGTTTTTGTTTTAAAGATATGGGGTACAATTCAGGGTTAGGTATACATATGTTTATTATGCAGGTACCCGTGTTGATGAGGTATGTCCCCACTCCCCTGGCAGTCTTCCACTACTGCCAATTCCACCCCCACCCTCCCCTGGCAGTTTCCCACTACTGCCAATCCTTTTCTTATGTATTAATGATAGTTGTTCAAGGTCCTCTTATGAGAATAGGTAATACTTGGTTATTTGTTTTGTGATAGATCACTCAGTATTATAGTCTCTAAGTCCATCCAAGTTGCTGCAAAGTTCATAATTTTGTCCTTCTTTATGGCTGTGTAATATTCCGCCGTGTGTATGTACTGCGTTTTTTAAAACCCAGTCCTCTTTTGATAGGCAGCATGGTTGGTTCCATGTTTTTGTTATTGTGAATAATCTTTGCCTACTTTTTAATGTAATTATTTGGAATTGTGCTGTTGAGTTGTTTGAGTATGTCTGTGATTTCCTCAGTGACTTAGGGTGCAGCTGCTAGTGGAACTCTAGTGAAGTTTTGATGGAGATGGGGACACCAGGTGTGCCTGTCCTTGGGCCCGAGTGGTGACAGAGGTAGGCTGAGCATATCCTTGGGCCCCAAGGCAGTGTATGCTGGCAGCAGCGTTACTGGGTCCAGGTAGGCTGATTCCTGGGCCCCCAGGCAGCTTGCTTGGATGCCAGTAGTGGTAGCCATGGGCTGGGCCATAGTTGGGTTCTCAGGCTCCTAGGCAGCAGGTATGGCATGGGCTATGACAATAGCAGTGGTGAAACTAACTGCTTGGCCACAATAGTCTACACGGGTGTTGGCAGTAGCTGCAATGGGTTGGGTGGGCAAGTCCCAAGGTCCACAGGTGGCATAAGCAGGGGGGTACCCGCTGTGGTGGTAGCAACAGGTTGGGGGGCCTGACCTCATGCCCCCGAGAGGAGTGCTCAGGTACCAAAAGTGGTTTACTGGGCAGGGCGGTCCCCAGCCCCCAGGACGGTGTGCTTGAATGGAGCCAGGACCATGGGTCCTCAAGGACCCCTGGTGGCATGTGCAGACACTGACCGTGGTAGGCAGGGGTGAGTTTATCCCCAGGCCCAAAGCAAAATGTTCGGGTGCCAAGGGCAGCGGCTGCGCTGTCCTGCTACTGAGAGGGCAGGGTTGATCAGTTGCAGCAGCCATATGCAGGCGCCTGAGAGCACACATTTTGCTTGTGCTTTGGCCCCAGCCGCGCAGCCTGCAGTTGCGCCTGCTACAGGCGGGGGAGTTTGCCTCGGGACTCGTGAAAATACACAGCAGTTTTGCTAATGGGGTCAGCGGGGTCTTTGCCAGTAGTGCGTGCTTCAGCACTGGAGGTAGGAGCCAGCCTCAGCCTCGGCGGTGGTTGCTGGTAGAGAATGTCAGTGGGACTCTAGAGATGTGGAGATGCAAGTGCTATTAGTTCCCTGGGCAGGATGCAGTCTGGTGCGGCTACGCTCTCGATATGGCACCTTGAAGCTGTTTAAGGGCCTGGAGGTGTGTGGAACTCAGCACGAGCTCCCTCTCTGGAGCAACGCCTTGGCTCGGTCTCCAGGCGGCTCCCTGTGGTAGTCTCAGGGTCCGCATGAGTCTAGGAACTTTGCCATGGCTAGGATGCAGGAGTTACAAGTGGGAATGGGGGCTGCTGGGGTTACTCACTCACCCTTTTGCTGCATTTGGAAGCCTCTACAGGCTCCCAGCATATCCCAGCCAAACAGGCTGTCTCCCTTACCTCTCCTTCCTTGCTTTAAGGGTTTGCTGCCACTTCTGTTTAACTAGAGTGTTCTCTTAATTTATCCGAGGTGGGATTACTATTTTAGTTCTGTATGGAAGAGGCAAGTAGCAGATGTCTCTAGTCAGCCATCTTGAAGGCCCTCCTCTGTATTAGTGTTTTACACATTCGATGGAAGAGACTCAAAATCTGCAAATGTTTAATCCTGAGTGCAAAACCTTTACAAATGAACAAGACTGCTAGAACTCCATTAACACATTATTGAAATGAAAACAAAATCTAAGACTATAATATCAATTTCTTCTTGCATACAGTAGTAGCTGAAATCTAGAGACCAATTTGAGAAAAGATATACTGAAAAACAATATCCCTTAAATAAGACAAAACTGCAAATTAAATCCATAGAAATTAGGTAGATCCGTTTATTTTTTGTATATTTCACAAGTTTAATTTTGGAAGAGCTATTCAACATATTTCAGCATTAACTGCCAACTCTCTAGACATGTTTAACAAAAAGGCATTCCTCTTGACCCTTTTAATACAGTGTCCTATTGCATCACAAATGCTAGAGATGCAGTAACAGATTTGAGGACATAATATTAAGGAAGTGAGATGTTTTCTTCCAGCTGCTATATAGTTGATAAGTAACATAAAACAATACATTAATGGCTATCATGACCAGTGATTTGCAGAATAAAACCAGTAGGCCTACCTACTTAGAATGCCGGAACTAGTAAAACTGTATTAGAATCAGTGTTTTTATCCTTAGATTAACAATGACTGAGATTTCTTTGATCCCAATTTTACAAGGCCTGGTGAGAGTTGAGGGGAGGAGATATAGGGGAAGACAGGCAGTGCATGTGAGTTAGAGTTGGAACAGTGGCTCACGTTGGTCATTATTCAGATTGTGATATTATTTTAGAAAATTAAAAATGTGCCCTAAATTGTGGCATGTTGGAAAGGATATTTAAGAATAATCAGTGCAAAATGCCATTTAATGAGTGCCATCAGTGAGCTCTTATAAGGAATTATCAGAGTTGGGGGGTGGTGAGGCAAGAGATGGTGAAAGAAGTTAAATGAAAAGTGGAAAAAAATGTTTAAAAGTTGGGGGATGTGAAAAGGCCAATGGAGAAACTGCTCAGAAGTGCTCTTCCACAGGCCACCTGCTCCTGACCACCAAACACCAATTTTAGAGCTCAATTTGGATACAGTAGTAGTCCCTCCACCATCTGTAGTTTCACTTTCCATGGTTTGTTACCTACAGTAAACTGTTTGACAATATCACATGGAAAATTCCAGAAGTAAAAAATTCCTAGTGTTAAACTACATGCTGTTCCAAGTAGTGTGATGAAATCTCTGTCCTTGCTGGGATGTGAATCATCACTTTGTTCATAGAATCCATAAGCTACTTGCTCATTAGTCACTTAGTAGCCATCTTGGTTGTCAGATTGAAAAAACACAGCATATCAAGGGTTTGGTACCATCTGAGGTTTTGGGCATCCACTGGAAGTCTTGGAATACATACCCCCTGGGTAAGGTGGGACTACTGTATTACGTTTCGGCTGTGAAAAAGCTTCACTAATTTGGATTGAGAAATACAAGCCTGATTTAGTAAAAAGTATCCATAAATATTCAGAGGTATTTTGTTTCATCAAGTAAAAAGAGCAACTAATTCCAACTGTTGAAGTAGTATCAAGTAGAGGCTTTGCCAGGCTTGCCATGATGAACGGTTAAGACATATTTTAAGGTCAACAGCACGAGACTATTGAATAACTTGTATACTACAAACATGATCCTTCCAGTTCACTGAAATAATCCAACAATCCTTATTATCCCAATTTGTCAAGAACTGTAATTATTTCAGACAGATGTTATTAATGTTTCTCAAAACTGTACTATCAAAAGTGGGAGCTACTGGACATAAAACAGGTAATTTATTTTAGACTTTAGCCAGTTTTCATGAAGTATTCGTTACCTCTAATTTCAGCTTACTCTAACACTGATTTATGATAAACAGGACAATTATTAAAATCAGTTGTTTCTTAGGCTACAATTTTGAAATCACAGAAATGCAGTTAAGCACATCGTCAAAATCTGCACTCAACTGATGATCAAACAGCCTGCAAGTATGTCCTCAACAAACTAAGCTTTGGGGAAGAACAAAAAGGGAAAAATCTAAAACCTCTCTATCCTAAGCACCAATAATGGAGGCTAAGCAATTTTACCTGCAAATCCTTCATGACAGCTCTTTCCTAATGAAAAATCCTGAGGTTTAAGCACTGTGACTTTATAGAAGGCAGGTTGGCTTAATGAGGAAATTTATTTTTAATAAAAAAGATAATCAGCAATATTTTATTTTGGGCACTTACTCAGCATTTCACGATCCTCAATAAGTTTTGAGGTAGATCAAATATTTTTAACAGTATATTTGAAAACAAAAATTAAGGAGATGTTATGTTACTTGTCCCAAACCGCAGGAGGAGCCCTATCACAGACAGGAATAACATGGTCTCTCTAATCTTTCCGATTAATTTTCTTTGATGTGTGAATTTAATGGTGATAGCTTGCAAATATTCATGAGTGTAAAAGACTAGATAGAATTCTACTTTGGGATATTTTTTAATTCTTAAAAGTTGATTCCATAATGAGTATACACATTGTGGAATAACCTAGTTGCTCTCATTACAAATATATACATAACTGATCCTTACAATTACAAATGAGCACAGTACTGATTTTGCTGCTTTTCTGTCTTTTGGGGTGGGTAGAGCAGGAGCTTTCCTCAGAGCACTAGGTAGCCTTTAAGTGAAGGTGCTATGTTCAAGGCACCATCTACTATGATTTGGAAATCATAGGAAAGCAGACACAGAATTGGAACCAATATCCTGAAAAGATGTCTGGATCCAAAAAAGGGGAGGCTCTGTACAAGTCAAAAAACCTGTCCCAATAGTCTATTAAGGTTCTAGTTAGATAAATTACAAGTAAAATTAAGTCGATATTTTATGATAGTGACACCTATTGAAGCCAATACCTATTTTAAATATTAATAAGTTTTGTCATGTAAATTACTCTAATTGTCACAAGCCTAATTCACTTAGCTCGCCATAATTACTTAAAATTATTTACCAAAATTCAGCTCATTTTGACACACGTTCTTGGGCCACTCTTTGAACTATTTGTTTCATTATAAAGTTCCTTTTATTTAAACAACTCTCAAATATTAGTAATAATAAAAAATTAAGAGTGGTTAATTAACAGATGAGAAGTTAGAAGGAAAACACCAGTATTGTGTTATAAATTACAGCATTCAGCAGAGCAAATTTAAAGAGTAAGGATATGGACATCTATGCTCCATATAGACCAAACACACCAATAGAATGGTAATCAAAGAAGCAAAAACAACAAAAAACCCCAAAAGGCAGGGGGGTGCACAGAAGGCAGAATACTGAAGTCTTTTACACTAGTGTCTCCAAAGTTGAGTGTGGAAGTAAAAAGTTTCTACATTTAAAAAGTTTATATAAATTATATGAATTGCAATTTTCATAAAAGTCAAAATGAAAAGTTCTGCATAGGACAAAAGATATGCCTAAGCAACATATCATATTTGCACAAGGCCACTGAATGTCATGGATATTAGTAACAAATGAAAACCTTAAGTCTATGACAGACTAAACAAAGATTTCAGTTTGGTATTCTATAAGCCCGAGATTATAAACTATTCTTATACAAATGCTGTAAAGATATAGTTTTGTGTAGGAACTCTTGTGCTTCTTATTGGCACATGATCTACTTTTTAATATGTGAAATTAATACAGACATTTGTGAGAGGTTGTGCAAAACTATTGTATTTACAAAAATGGCACAAAAGTGAATTCAACAGTCGATGCACATGCACACTTCATTCACATCTTCAGCAACAAAAGGTATTCTAACACTACAGAACTGAATAAGAATACTAGCTTCAACGGCAGCTGTTAAGCATTAGAGTCACATAAGTTACACCAGAATGGGCAAATATTGCCCAAGTAAAGTTCTACTGTTAAAGCTGAAACAGGTTTAAGGCCATTCAAGGTCAAGCAGAGATACAAATCTATTGGAGCCCCATCTATTTGTGTTTGATATAAATGACCTTTCTTCTAACTTGTGGTCTTAAACTTCTGTTTTACAAAATCCAGGATACAGAATAAATCAATACAATAGAGGTTATATTAAATAAGAGTCACATACAAAGCTATAATTAAGGTGAAGTAATGAAAGCCAAAACATTAAAAATGTTAAAACTTGCTTGTTACTTGTTGGAACCGGTACTACACTAGGAGTTAGATAATATATACAATTATTTTCAAGTAGATTACTTATGTTGCTCTAACATGTCCTTCCCATCAGTGCACTGTTAAACTAATCAAAAACTCTACACATGTATATCCCCTTACAATAGCAGTACACTACTGCTACCCGCAAAGCTGTCAGTTTCAAATGACTTAGTGAGTGAAAGGAAATAAGATGTAGATAAGTAACATATTAGGGAGAAATAATGGGAATTAGAAGATTCATGCAGTTCAGCTCTTTTAATCAGCCAGCCAGCTTGCTAGCAACAAGGGATGGTTTTCGTTGAGGAAGGTCTTGTGGAGTGGGAATGTGGTCACCAGTGACCTCCGTCTTATCAGGAGCTGCAGTAGGAAGTTGCTTGTTCTTCATTTTTGCTTTAGCCATGTTGTAATCGCCAGAATCAAAATATTTTTGCTACAAGAAAAAAAAAAAAAGAATTCAGATTACTGTTTAAAGCTTTCATAAGCAATTACACTGATTTAAGATGTAGACCTTGTTGCTCTTTTTTTTTTTTAGTTGCCCTTTCTTGCAGAAGGTATCCAAGGAAGTAAAAAATATTATAAAACGTAGATGTGACCCCGTCAGTATAAAATAAGCTGGGGTAAAAGTGTAAATGGAAATATCAATTAGATGAAATTGCTACACCTCTGTATTGAGTTCCAGCATAAGTCAACTGAGAGGTCAAAAGACCCCCTCTTTAGGTTTTCTTGAACCATTCTGTTTTTGACATCAAGCTATCTGGGAATAAAAAGTCTTAGACTCAGAGAGAAATAAAAACTTTTAATTTGCTAATGAAACAACCAGGCTGAAATTCTTGCTTAAATTATTTCATAAATAAAACACAGAATTCGCCAACTTGCATTTAGGAAGTTGCCACCCACCCCTACTCGATCCTACAGTTATTAAAACTATTAATATAGTTACCGGTATTCTGTCCATTAGGACAAGTGTTTCTGCAAGAATTCAAATCACATTTATCTGAGCAGTTCACTAAAATCAAAATTGTAAAAATAAAAATGTTAGAAAAAAAGAAAAAATAAACTCACTGGAAATTAACTATCACTTAGAATTTTAAAAACGCACATCCCTAATCTACACCTCCTCCATTTTTCCAATAACGACACTGAATAAGTACAACTATTGCTCTTTTTTTTTTAGTTGCTCTTTCTTATTAAAATACAAATTGTGATGCGTGCCAAAGATCAACATTAATACAATGAATCTACTTGTATCCCAGAGTCAAACAAATGAATCTGCCAGGTTCCGAGGTTACTCTTACTGAGTACCTGCTGTACATGAGGAACTATGTGTGAGATGGGATCAAAGACAAAGATGAACAGTCAAGTAAATCAACTATTATAATACTGTCTTAAGGACACAAGGTGCTTGAAGCAGGGGAATCTAACCTCAGTCTGAAGTTAGCAAAAGGAAATAACCCAGGTATAAATGAGGGCCTGGGCTGGGCCTGGTGGCTCACGCCAGTAATCTTAGGACTTTGGGATGCTGAGATGGGAGGATTGCTTGGGCCCAGGAGTTCAAGATCAACCTGGGCAACATAGTCAAACTTCATCTCTACAAAAACAAAACAAAAAAAATTAGCTGGGTGTGGAGGCACATGCCTGCAGTCCCAACTACTCTGGAGGCTGAGCCCAGGAGGTTGAGGCACTTTGATTGTGCTACTGCACTCCAGTCTGGGTGACAGAGTGAGAGCCTAACTCAAAAAAAAGAAATGGAAAGAAAGAAAGGAAATCCTGAAAGAAGGGTGAAAAGAAAAAAAAAATCCATAAACTTAAGGGAGATCTCATGCGGTAAAATGAAAGAGCTGGAAACACAGCTTAATATAAGACTGTCCACTGGCCCAGGGAAAGAATCTCATCAGCTGCCTCCCTCCAGGGACTATTCTTTGATAAGCTAGATCTGATCCATGGCCAAAGGATCTAAAGTTAGAAATTGCTTCTCATGTGTCACTATACATGTATCATACAGAGCAGTAACAAGGAAACTTGGACCAGGCTCGTTTACGCCTTGCTACAACTTCACTTCTTTATGATGTTTTTTAAAATGAACATAGAGGAAAAAAACCCATGTACTGTATTAAAGAGCTGCTTCTGAGTTTAGTAGCTTCTGTGGGAGAACAAAGTAGGCTGCCAAATTTCTTATTTTGTCACAAGCACAAAATGAGAAATTTAACAGCGCAAATTTTAGGCAGATTTCCCTCAATTCAATAAGCTCAATTTCTACTATAGTAAGCAAAAGTTTATCATAAGGGGATCTCACTTAACTGTAGATCAGGCTACTCTGCTTGGGGAGAAGAAATTAAATCTGTGTGCCTAGAGGTAAAAACTAATCAATGCTTAACAATTAGAACTGCCCTAAAAAGCATTAGGTTACCACAAAGGGCAGTGAATCCTCACATAGAGATTCTGCAAAGACAATGATACAACAAAGATGTCAAGAGAAAAAAGTGAATGCTTTTAGGTAGAAAAGTGAACTAGATCAATATTTCTCATATTAGGATTCACAAATGACGGTCTAAGAGGATGATACTAGTTGCCTTTAACAATTTTCTAAGTTTTGTGGGTTTTTAATAAAAATATTTAAAAATTAACAGAACATTTTGGATTATCAAGATGACAATGTTATAAAAGCTTCCACTGAAATTTATGGGTCATATTTACATCAGTACCTATAAATGCACTGACACTATTAAGTGATCACTTAAAGTGACAATGTTTAACTTTGAAGCCCTATTTCTTAAAACTGGATTCTCAGTTTTCTTGGGACCTCAAAAACTTCACGAATATGAAAAAATCATGGGCTACATTGCTTTTGACATCTTCTCAGCTCTGACAGTCTTTATAGTCACTGTGTACATGGTCACACAGTTAAAAACCTAATAATAACACATAAGATTAACCTCATAATAACAATAAGTATAATATAGTAAGGAAAATAATAACAATATCTAATCCAATCTTATCAAATGAAGGAACTGTTAAAGATGTTAAAGATGCAAAGCTTGCTAATCAGTGACCGAGGGAAACTAAAACCCAGAACTCTGTGATCCAGACTTTTAAAAAAATTAAACATAAGAACTTATTCACTGACATTCTGGTATAATACAGAATCATTCAAGAGCACGCTTTTCAAATTCTATGTATTTCTTGACTCGGTGGCATTTTCTTCATCCTCAACTATTTACATCTACAACACTAACTCCAAGATACAACTTAGATAAATTCTGACTTGAATATACTTGAAAAGTCATTAATAGTCAAAGCTAGAGGAAAATTACGATGACAATAGCCCCAATATCAGAAGAAAACCTATTAGCCTAAGTTAAGTTGGAAATTAGCAAAGGAAACATTACCTAAACACTAATAACCAGTCAATTCCTAAATTCAAATACGGCAAAGAAAATTATATATTTCATAACTAAGACACACCAGATAGGATCATTTTATTAGACTTGGTACATGTACATTCCACATAACTAGATGTATAATGAACATAGTCTTCATTTTGCTTTTTCTGTTTCCTCCCCTATATTATGATCTTTATATTTTTAAATAATCATATACTAATTATAATTACAATTATAACTGTTGACTTACTGCAATTTATTTAACTGTTTTTCTGCTGTTGAATAATGGTTCTGCTTCTAATTATAGTTAAAGCTGTAAGGACTATCTTCAAAATATATTTAAGTTTATATTGAATTATACTCTTAGAAATTATTCATTCAAACATGAACATTTTAATAAACCTTGATCATGCTCCCTTTCCAAAGTGAGAGTAATAATTATAAAAAGTTTAAACACAATAAAAAGCATACTGGTATTACTAAACTTCAATCTTACCAATAGGTATTATTTTAAATGTTTTTAATTTAGTTGTATATATATTATGTATTCATTTACATTTCACTGATTTCTATTTTAGATAAACATTTTTCTCTATGTTTAATAATTACATTTCATCCATTAAAATCCTTTATAAAGGGGCACCTTAGTATTTTTCTTGTGTACTTAAAAGTTCCCTCTGATATAGTATAGATATTAACTATCATTTTTGTAATAATTTCCCCACTTGAATATATCTCATGGTATAGGAGTTTTACATTTGTATACATTGTAGATAATTTTTCTTTGTCATCCTAATATTTCAAAGCTGTCAATGCTATTCTTTCAATAAGATTAAAAATACCATTCCGTTTTTTGTCACTTTAAAACATAATTTGTTAAAATATTATTTTGGGATTTGATTTATTTGGGAAACAATCCATATGTAACTATAGCTAACACACATGGACATGGTTTTGTAAGCAAGCAGCAAATACTAGTATAGTTAAGGATTTATTTAAGGAGAAACATGATCTGACATCTCATTCACAATACGCAATTCTCTTCCACAAATCTTATTTCATCCTTCCCTGTTCCCTGTAAAGAATTTAAATATGCTTAAGCTGAAGATGGAACTCTAATTTTTTACAGAATAAAGAAAGAGGTTAGAAGAGAAAACTTAAGGAACACATAGGCAGCATAATCTCAATTCAGATCTCATTACTGAGATAATGAAATCTACCTCAAAAAGCATGACAAATTTTTGAAAATGTTTCCAATAATTTGAACTACAAAAGTTACAATGTTAAAATTCTATGAGAAAAACTCTGACTGTGAAACATACTATATAAAGAAGATAGCAAAATGTGCTCACTTTATCCAAATAAAAAGCCTCTGGCTATTTTATAGGAATCATCTTTAAAGTAGATAAAATTTAAAATATGGTTAGAAGGATAAATACCAGGTAGTGGTTGCTTTTGGAGACGAAGGAAGGGGGTTATATATACACATACATGGTAAGTTTCAACTATATCTACAACATTTTCTTTCTTACAAAAATAAAACTGAAGTAAACATGGCAAAATATTAATATTAAATCTGGGTGGTAGGTACATTGGCTCTGTTATTATCATTATCTGTACTATTCTACACACTTGAAATAGTTTATAATTTAAAATGTTAAAGAGTTGTAGATTCTAATTATGCTTTTTAAAATAAAGAGTGTAAAATACCAGGGAAAAATTCATCATATAAGGACACACCTGACAAGGTACAGAACCATATACGCAGACACTCATTCCACAATCTCTGTAGGCACAGTGAGTTCATAGGGCTTAAACGTATGAAAAGATTACACACGAGAACTTACCCCTTTCTGTAATCGTTTCCTTAAGAAATCTGAACCTCCAGGCTTTTGTCCCAGATGAGGATACCTTGCTTTTAATTTTGCTTCTTCAGCTTTTTCTGGACTAGTCACTTTATCTTCCATTTCCTGAAATAATTTTAAATAAATTACTTCTCTATTACAACTCAGTTATTTAAAAGAATTCACCTTTTAAAATCTGGACTCTGATTTCAGTTGTCGAATGCAAAGTAACACAGCATCTAACTAAAAAATCAAGCACAGAAGCCTTTAAAACATCTCTATCTTGTTTTTCAAATGATCCATGTGATAACTCTATTATAGCTGTGATGCATGTGTAACACCCCACACACTGGATAAAAATACCAAGATAGCTCAGCTCTGAAGTCTTGCTTGCCATTACTTTCCAGTCATGTATAATACATTTATAGTTAGTCACCTTCTATGGAACTCTTCAGTTCTTTGCCTATTTTTAGAGAATTTTCCTGACACCGTTAAAATATAAAAATTCTTTTTGATCTCCTGTTTATCCAAAATTATATATAATGACATGCCTCAGATTCTTTATCAGAAATTAACAGCAGCCTTGAACAAATTAATATAAATGACGCTGATATTTGTAAAGGAGAGAAACATTATCTTTGCCAATCTTCACACCTGTACATATTGTTGCCTAATTTTTCGTCGTGTTTAAAATGACAAACTGTTCATGTCATAGATCCCATTCTTTAATGTATTAAAAACCAGTTTTCTGACAGGACTGTCGATTTCTTCAGCTTCTTCACTTTTTTTTTTTGAGTTGGAGTCTCACTCTGTCACCCAGGCTTGAGTGCAGTGGAACGCTCACGGTCATTGCAGCCTCAACCTGCTGGGCTCAGGTGATCCTTCCACGTCAGTCTTCCAAGTAGCTGGACTTACAGGCACATGCCACCACGCTGGCTAATTTTTAAATTTATTGTAGAGATGAGGTCTCGCCAAGTTGCCCAGGCTGGTCTTGAACCCCCCCCGTGGGCTCAGACAATCCTCTCACCTTGGCCTCCCGAAGTGCTAGGATTATAGGCATGAGCTACCATGCCCAGCCTAGCCTCTTCACTTTTAACTCCAATCTTGATTTAGTCTTTTTTCTTCCAAACTGTCATACGTTATAAGGAACCAGTGTTTATCACTTCATGACAAGGACTGCAGAAGAAAATCCAGAAAAAACTGTCCTAGGTGGGTAGGCCTGAGCAGCTGGCAAGGCACACTCTACCTAGTGAACTCATCTCTGCACACAAGATCAGCAAAATGACACACACCTGTATATCTTGAGTCCTCCAGGTTTTTTTGTTTTTTTGAGTTGAAGTCTCACTCTGTTGCCTCAGATTCTTTATCAGAAATTAACAGCAGCCTTGACCTGCTGGGCTCAGGTGATCCTTACGCCTGGCTAATTTTTTGATTTATTGCAGAGATGAGTTGCCAAGTTGCTCAGGCTGGTCTCGAACCCATGAGCTCAGGCACTCCTCTCACCTCAGCCTCCCAGAGTGCTGGGATTATAGGCGTGAGCCACTGCGCACAGCCTTCTTCCAGGTTTTTAATGAACAGTCAAAAACCAGAAATGTTAAACTCATAAATACCAAACCTACTGTTCTTGTTTAGCAAGCAATTAATTTTCCTATCTAGGAATTGGAAAAAAAAACCTTAATAATGTCTTTGTATATATTTTACTCAAATATATGTTCTATGTTTTATTCACTTTATAAATTGTCAATCTTCCTTCATCCCAAACAACTTCTTCATGTGTCATGCCTTCATTTTTAGTTCTAGAGAATTTTGGGGAAAAAGTTCTTGCTGTCAAATATATTTTGTTTTTGCTGTGGGGCCTCTTTTTCTAAGTATGCTCTTTCTGCTTCACAATGTTCCACTTTCCTCTTTTATGCTAAAGTTTCATACACCTATGTTAATTTTTGGTCTCTTTACAGTAGCCACATCACTTATTCACTTGAAGTACACAAAATTCAACTATGTGCACTCAGCTAGATATAGAGAATTTAAATAGTAGTGGTGATTCTGCCAGTAATTCCATTCAAGAAGGGCACGTCCCAGAGAAATCAAGTGTGAGGTATGTGATACAAACCTATCATTCCCACATTAGTCTCTTGCCCTTGGGCATCTTTCGGAGTTACCATGTTGTTTATCACTGCAATGCTTAAAAACTCAGCCACCCTACACCACAAGCCTGCTACCTTAGACGGCCCTCAACTGACGAATCACCCTAGTTAGCTGTTCGGCCATTGGACAAAAAAGTGACTATCTCCCCTACTGAGAATGGAAGAGACAGACTCCAATGTAATTATGCCTTCTCTGGGATTTTTTTCTTTTTCCTCTCTCTCTCTTTTTTTTGAGCCAGAGCCTCATTTTGTTGCCCAGGCTGAAGTGCAGTGACAAGTTCTTGGCTACTGAAGCCTTGACCTCCTGGGCTCAGAGGGTCCTTCTGTCTCCACCTTCCAAGTAGCTGGAACTAGAGGCACACGCCACCACACCCAGCTAATATTTTGATTGAAGTAGCAACAGTCTCCCCAAATTGCCCAGGCTGGTCTTGAATCCCTGGGCTCAGGCAACCCTCTCACCCCTGCCTCCCAAAATGCTGGGATTTCAGGCACGCGCCACCGTGCCTGGCCTCAAGGATTTCCTTCGAGGGTGATTTTAGATATACGTGAGTTGTTGCCTCACTAACTTTAGAATCAAACCCATGCAAGGTGTGACTACACCATGCTCATGACCGAAGCCAGAGAAATAACATCAATTTCACCGCACAGCATCTCTGAGGCTCAGCCTTTACTGCCGGCGTCTACTGCAGGCGAAGAATGTTCCCAGGGCTGCAACTCAAAAGCGGAACGGGAAAGGGGCCTACTCTTGCGCTTCCCTGCACAGCTGATTTAAAATGATACTGGCTGTAAAGGGCCCTACACTGACAGCCACCTTCAAATTAAGGGTGTTAACAGAGTCCTACAATTCCACTACAAATGTAGCTTTCTTTGATTTGAAATTGTTCTCCTGAATCTATGAGAGATTCCATTGAATTCCTTATATGCAGGTAGCAGCTTTCTTTAATTTCCACATTTAATTTTGCCAAAAATGGCAGACATACATAAGGGAAAAAAAAGTTGTACACAATTTTGGCATTCTCTTATTTTCTTTCTTAAAAAAAAAAAATTTTTTTTTTTTTTTTTGAGTCAGGGTCTCCCTCTGTTGTCCAGGCTGGAGTGCAGTGGCACAATCAAGGCTCACCACAGCCTCAACCTCCTGAGCTCTGGTGATTCTTCTACCTCAACCTTCCAAGTAGCTGTGCAGCTCTGAAAATTATTTCATTCAAAATGTCTGCACTGTGCTCAGCAACAGATCAGTGCACAGGGAATTGGCCTGTATGATCTGGGCCTAGCACTACCACCTTCTGGCAGTGGACATTACTTCCTTCCAGCCCGGTTCTTCACCTGCACAATAGGTGCTCTAGAAGTGAGGCCTCCCTGCCCTCATCTCCATGCAGTTCTCCAGCATGCAAGGAGGCTGGGATCGTGGGAACAGAAGTTATCCAGGGTCTGTTTCCAGCCCCTCCTGTCCGTTCCCTCCCTCGGACCCAGCCACAAGGGGAAGGGCTCCCTTTGTGCATGAAGTCAGGTGAGATGGGGTGTCCTGCCTCCAGGGCGGAAGATGACTCACCGGGCTGTGAGCCAGGCACCCTGGGAAAGGCCAGGCCAGCCTGAGGCCAGAGCCCCAAGGAGCTGAGGCAGGGAGGAGGGGGCAGGGCCTTCCTCAGCTGAAGATAAATCCTGGGAGCTCTCAAAGCCCTGTAGCCAAAACAGGCTATTTTCCCCACTTACTGCAGGGCCAGAAATTTTTCTAATCAGGCCACCAACAGCCTAGGGAAGCTTCAGGTACAATGGGCACACACCAGCCTACCCATCTGACCTCAGCCTCTGCCTCCTGCCAGGCTGGTCTCTTCAGCACTGCCTACCCACCCCAGGCTCATCTCCACCTCTCCATCTTGGTTCCCCTGCCTGGGCTGTCCTCCTTGCTCTTGTTCAAACCCCGTCTAACTTTTAGGCTCTGCCTCTTACAGAAGTCTCTTTTATTTTATTTGTTTTAATTTTTAGTGGGGGTCTCACTTTGTCACGCAGGTTGGAGTGCAGTGGTGTGGTCACAATCATGGCCCACACAGTCTCAACCTCCTGGACTCAGGCAATCCTTCCACCTCAGCCTGCCAAGTAGCTGGGACTATAGGCGCACACTACGACGCCTGGCTAACTTTTTAATTTTTTCTCATAGAGACAAGGCCTCACTACGTTGATTTTTTAATTGTTTTGTAGAGAGGAGGTTTCACTATGCTGCCTAAGCTGGTCTCAAACTCCTAGATACAAGTGATCCTCCCACCTTGGCCTCCCCAAGTGCTGGGATTGGCTGAGCTCAGTGGCTCAGCCTATAATCCCAGCACTTTGGAAGGTCAAGGCAAGTGGATTGCCTGAGTCCACGGCTTCGAGACCAGCCTGGGCAACCTGGTGAGACCTTGTCTCTATAATAAACCAAAAATTAGCCAGGCGCGGTAGTGAGCACCTGTAGTTCCGGCCACTTGGAAGGCTGAGGCAGGAGGATCTCCGGAACCCAGCAAGTTCACACTGGGGTGGCCGTGAGTGTGCCACTGCACTCCAGCCTGAGCGATAGAATGAGATTCCAACTCAAAAAAATAAAATAAAGTGCTGGGATTACAGACATAAACCACCACATCCAGTCTCATTTTTTTTTTTTTTTTTTTGAGTTGGAGTCTTACTCCATTGTCCAGGCTTGAGTACAGTGGCACGTTCATGGCCATCCCAGCATCGACCTGCTGGGTTCCAGGGATCCTTCCGCCTCAGCCTTCCAAGTAGCCGGAACTACAGGCATGCGCTACCACATCCGGCTAATTTTTTATCTATTGTAGAGACAAGGTCTCACCAAGCTGCCCAGGCTGGTCTTGAACCCGTGAACTCAGGCAATCCACTCACCTCAGCCTCCCAAAGTGCTGGGATTACAGGCTGAACCAGTCTCATTTTCTTAACAAGGAATACATTTACAGGTACATGTACATATAATGCATGCTCAATTAAATTAAAATAGTTTCTACTAAAAATGTTTGGGCAAAACATCATCTACAGCTGAAAATATCACTCAGATTATTTAGAACAGATGTATAACAATATATATTTATAGCATATATTATGTCCTAGAAAAACTAACCAATTCCTGAACTTTCTTGCCAAATACATAGTATAATGCCAAGTCCTTGCTAGTTGCAATTTCCTAACTAGATTCAGAAGTTAACACCAAAAGGGGAAAAAGACAGTAAAAAAAAAAAAAAAAAAGACACAGGTTGAAAGTAAACATTGGGGGTGGATGGCGGTGGAGGAGGAACTAGGCAAATACTGACCAAAACAGAACTAGTGCACTTATATTAATGCCAGGTAACATAGACTTTGACAAAAATCATTATTAGAGACAAAGATTATCTAAATATTCATGCCTCTAATAAAACAGCCTCTAAACATATAAAGCAAAAATGGATAGAACTATTGATAGCTGAAAAAAAAATAAAACAAAGCAGTCAAGATTCTTGATTTTAATTTTGTACCCAACAATTAGGGAATGGAATGCATATTTTTCTCAAGCCTACACTGAAAAATCTACTAAATACTAGGCCATAAAGCAAATCTTGACTATTTTCACCCAGACTACCATTTATGACTGCAATTCATTCACTAGGTTATAAAGTCAATCACGCTGGGTGCTGTGGCTCACGCCTGTAATCCCAGCACTGGGAGGTGGAGGTGAGAGGACTGCTTGAGCCCAGGGGTTTGAGACCAGCCTGGGCAACAAGGCGAGACCTTGTCTCTATAATAAATGAAAAAATTAGCTGGGTGTGGTGGCTTGCACCTGTAGTTCCAGTTACTTGGAAGGCTGAGGTGGAAGGATGACCTGAGCCCAGCAGGTTGAGGCTGCGGTGGCCATAAGCGTGCCACTACACACTAGCCTGGGTGACAGTGAGACTTCGACTCAAAAAAGCAAGGCAATAACAATAAAAAAAACTTAAGTTTCTAACATTTGGAAATTAAAAACACTACTAAATAATTCATAGTTAATTCTCACGGCATGAGAATTAAAAAATACTCAGAGCTCACTGATAATAAAAATTTTACGCTCACTAAAACTCATGGGATACAGCAAGTATCCCTTGAAGACTTTTATTAAAGAAAGCAAAATGTCAATGAGTTGTGCATCTCACTTAAGTAGTTAGACAAAGGATAGCAAAGAAAATGAAGAAAATAAAAAGCAGAAATTAATGAAATAACATAATGAGACTCAGTCTCTACCAAAAAGGTTTTCATTAGCTAGGCATGATTGTGCAAGGCTGGTGGTTCAGCTACTAAGGAGGATGAGGTGGAAGGATCACTTGAGCCCAGGATTTCAAGGTTGCAGTAAGCTAAGACTGTATCACTGTGCTCTAGCCTGGGTGACAGAGACCCTGTCTCAAAGAAAAGCATTAAAAAAAAAATTCAAACCTGGTTTTGAAATTTTACTCTCCAAAGCCTTTGTGTTACACAGCAATCTTGCTCGAATGTAAGTGGATTTATTTAGCTAAGTGGGTTCTAAACTGGTAACACCTGGATATCGTTATAGAGCTATATGTTCATGATGTATATAAAACAAAAATCTTAAAAACTTTAATATTCTCTTCACAAGTACATACGCCCCCCCCCCCCCAAGCATCTCTCTGTATATCCTATACCTAGCACAGGGCCTAACATTTACCAACAGTAGGCATGTGCATTTCTGTGAATTATACTACTGAAATACATTAGAAATCCTTTAAGTAGGCAGGCTATAATTCATAAATATAAAAAGGACATTCAAATGACTAAGGATTACTTTGTAGTCTATTATGGACTGACAATAATTATGTCTGAATGACTGATACTACTTTTCAACTTTCAGCAGAGAAGAGTTACACAGCAACATCAGCAATAAATATCTGACCACTCTAAGCAAATTCTCCTCTATCTGCTCAGCAATATGTTCACTGATGCACTGATTGATGAATAAGTGGAAAGGATTCATGAAAGCCAACAAATCCTTTGGGATACTGCCAGGAAGATACCAATACTGCATCAACCTCTATGGAAAATCACTGTTGTCCTCCTATCAAGTCTTTGCTGTTTGCCCAATGCCTTGCATTTAATGAGTGTTCAATAAAAATCTACTGAATGTGCTGGGTGCGGTGCCTCAAGGCTATAATCCTAGCACTTTGGGAAGCCGAGGATTGCCTAAGCCCACGGGTTCAAGACCAGCCTGGACAACATGGTGAGACCTCCTCTCTACAATAAATCAAAAATTAGCTGGGTGTGGTAGCATGTGCCTGTAGTTCCAGCTACTTGGAAGGCTGAGGCAAAAGCATTGCCTGAGTCCAGTAGGTAGCGGCTGCGGTGACTGGGAGTGTGCCACTGCACTCCACCCTGGGCAAAAGAGTGAGACTCCAACTCAAAAAAACCAAAAAAACTACTGAATGAACAAATACAATATAATACAATTGTTTCCGTAAAGTTAAGAAATCTTCTACACACTTGACAGATTCATCATCAGTTTATCTTTGAAATATTTCATGTTACAGTAAACACAGGTTCAGGAATATAAGTTGGTTAGTAATAACATCTTTCTCAAACAAAAAAGCAGATCTAACAAACTGTTGTATAGCAAACTGTAAAGATAGCTAAGAGAGACACAAACTTTTCTGAGGTATACTTCTATACCATTAAGAATCAATGGTTGCACACAGACCAAAGGCGCATGCTGTGCTCACTCTGAATAGAAAGAGAAAATACTCTTGAGCATTTTAGTGACCAAAGGTAGTACCAAAACAGCCCCAGAAAATACCAGTATTAAGTCTATTTTTAAGATACTGGAAAAATGTTAAAGTAATTTATATTCACTCTTTACTGATGATACATGGAAGTAATTAAAATAGTTTCTCCTCTCTCACCATTCATGAAGGCATCAAGTGTATCTTTTAACTGAGAGAAATATTTTGACAGTTTTAGTGTAGTTATCCTTTCCAAGACATCTCAGCTTGAAGAATATTAAAATATAACCTCACTGGGCGTGGTAGCTCACACCTATAATCCCAGCACTTAGGAAGGCTGAGGTGAGGGGACTGCCTGAGCCCGCAGGTTTGAGACCAGCATGGGCAACTTGGTGAGACCTCATCTCTACAATAAATCAAAAAATTAGCCAGTCATGGCACATGCCTATAGTTCCAGCTACTTGGAAGGCTGAGGCAGAAGGATCGCCTGAGTCCAGTAAGTCAAGGCTGCAGTGAGCGTGCCACTGCACTCCAGCCTGGGCGACAGAGTGAGACTCTGACTCAAAAACAAACAAACAAATAAACAAAACAAAAAAACCCCTCTAGCTCACTTGCTACTGAGATTTTTAAAACATTAAAAGCCACGGAATATGTGAAAAATATAAATATCCATCTAGTTTTATTCAGATTTCTTAAGTGGATCTAAGCTAGCATTTTTATATTGCCATGATTTGGTCCTTCTTCTTGACAGAATCTACCTCTGTCACCTAGGCTGGGGTGCCGTAGTACAATCTAGCTCATTGCAGCCTTGAACTCCTGAGCTCAAGTGCTCGTCAGTCCTTGGCCTCCCAAAGTGCTGGGATTACAGCACTGTGCCTGGCCTATTTCTCTTTTTAACTGCAGAATTAGTATTGCCAGTTGTATGGGAATAGTACTTTGGCAACAGTTTCAACAGAAAAGTTCTGAGGAAAATTCATTCAACCAATGTTTTCTGAACAACACCAAGCACTATGCTGAGTGCTGTGGGAGAAAAAAAAATATTAAGGACTAAAACTGATCTTTTTTTTTTTAAATCCAAATTCCTAACAAGCCGATAAAGACAGGGTTTTATAACCCTATTATCCTATATACTAAAGTTTGTTTTCCAAACTGACTCAAGCATAACATAACATAACAAAGAAATAAATCAAAGCATTTCATGGCTCTGTAAAGCCATCTCTTGGGGACTCCCAGACTCCAGGAACCTCTAAAACACTTACCTATTCTCTCTGAAGCCTGCTACATATAGGCTTTTTTTTCCTAGTAAATATTACTTTTATTTTTTCATTTGTCATGCATTAAAAGTAAAAGTTTTTAATACATTGACATTTTGCTTACAAAAGAATCAACAATATACACTTTAAAAAAGACTTTGACAACGTTTATTAAAGTTAGAGAACATACATAACTTTTCACAATGATCAAGATATTTTTTGCATGGTTTCAGCAAGTGGGACATTTTTATGGTCTGCACAATTGTGCAAAGGGAAAACTACTTGTAGAAAATTTTATCGTTGAGTGTATAAAGTACAAAGTTTTGGGTATTTTGTTTTTAATGGAGCAGGAAATGAAATGAGAAAAGAAATGCAGCTCTATTTTCTTCTTTCTGAGTCTGACTTACTCTGTCACCCAGGCTGGAGTGCAGTGGTGCAATCACGGCCACTGCAGCCTCAACTTGCAGGGCTCAGGAGATTCTTCCTACAGGTGCATGCCACCACGCCCAGCTAATTATTTATTTACTTGTTTATTTATTTATTATAGAGACGAGGTCTCCCCAAGTTGCCCAGGCTGAATCCCTGTGCTCAGACAATCCTCTTGCATCTGCCCCTCAGAGTGCTGGAATTACAGGCCTGAGCCACCATGCGGGCCAGTTGCTCTATTTCAAGAAACAGACCTGCAGGAGCACAATGCTCACATTGCAAGCAAAGAATATGTCATGAAAACCACTGAAGAACTTTATTTTATAATTTACACTAGATCATAAAATTAGACTCTGCATAACAACTAATTCACTTTTTCAGATCTCTTCAAAATTTAAATATTAATGTTGATAAATTCAAGTCTAATTATAATAGATACACATTCCAAGTTGAAGCCTGAATATCAATGTTCCAAAATATTTTGGTATGAGATGTTTAAATGAAAATTATTGGACGTGAAATGCAAACATGTAAACCAACTCTTTTTTTTTTTTTGTAATTGACTTATTTACTATAGAGTTCTTGTGTACAAGTAAGGATTTCCTACGTAAGGGTGCATGCAGGTGAAGTTTGGGCTTCTAGATGGCCCTCACTGCCCCAGTAGTGAACCAGGTACCCTTTGTATAGACATGTGTCCTCCACTCTCCTTCCTCCCTTCCCTAGCAGGATTTCATCTACACATCAACAAACCTGGAATTCCTCGCCTCAATCCTTATTTCAAAAATATCTCCTCTACTGATTTTCAAAATTTCTTAGCTAGAAACTACAACTACCAGTCAAAAAAAAAATCTTTGAATCAACCTGTAACTTCTAAGCCCCCATTCGGGAATGTCCCTCCTTCCCAGGCCGGACCAATGAAAATCTCACATATATTGATTTATGGTTTTTTAAAATTAACGTCTGCCTCTCTAAATTGTATATAACCAAGTTATCATTCAACCACAGTGGGCACATATTCTCAGGACCTCCTGAGGATGGGTGTTCCTGGGCCTAATGTCCTCAGTTCGAACAGAATAAATGACCTTAAAATGTTTTATAGTTGCCGGATGCGGTGGGTCAAGTCTGTAATTCCAGCACTTTGAAGGCCGAGGCGAGAGGATTGCCTAAGTCCAGGAGTTCGAGACCAGCCTGGGCAACTTGGTAAGATCTCATCTCTACAAAAAAATAAAAAAATAAAAATAAAAGCCTAGCTTGGCATGGTGGCACACACTTGTAGTTCCAGCTACTTGGAAGGCTGAGACGGAAGGATTGCCTGAGCCCAGTGGGTCGAGGCTGCGGCGGCCATAAGTGTGCCACTGCACTCCAGCCTGGGCAACAGAGTGAGACTCTGATTCCAAAAAAAAAAAAAAAAGTACAGTTTGGCATCTTTTTCTCACCAACATAAAGCAGGGTGTCCAAGCACTTAAGCAGCTCACAATGAAATCAGAATGATCTGTTTTAAGTTCCCACATGCCTCTTCTCACCAGCGCCCCTACGACCAGTGCATATGCCTCTCTTAGCTTAGTGTTAACAAATCCATGAACTCTCTGCTAAAAACTTTTAAATGCTTTGTCTTCATTTCAGTGGTAATCTAAAAGACAAAAATAAGCATATTCTGGGGCATCGGAATTGCCATCCAGTATCTACATCTACTTAAGCCTAAGCAGTGTTATGTGACTTTTGCCTCTGAACTTTAACAGACTCAGCTAACTACCCCAGTGATTCAGGGCGATGAAAAAAGAATGGAGCTGAATTTAAAATGTAAATCTATCTATGTCTCTGGAGTTAAATGACCCGACAGCTTACTCTTATAAAGGAGAACTGAGTCACCACCTGGCCAGTTTTAACTTGCCGGACACAAAAAGTCCCAGCACTTTAACAATCACTAACATATTCTCAATACACTAGAAAATTTAGTTTCAGCAAAACACCAACTACACTGAATTAAAAATTTAGACTGGCTTTGTTTGTATTTTCATTCTAGAGTGGTATATAAAAGTAAAGAGATAGGAGTTCATGCTTATTTTTAGACTTATGTAATATCCCAATAAAAAATTAAAGTCCAGCCACGCAGAGGCTCACGCCTGTAATCCCAACACTTTGGAAGGTCAAGGTGGGAGGATCCCTTGAAGCCAGGAGTTTGAGACCAGCCTGGGCAAAATAACATGACTCAATCTTCACAAAACATTTTTTATAACTTAACCAGGCTTGGCGTCTCAGCTATTAGGGAAGCTGAGGCAGAAGGACTGTCTGGGTTCAGGAGTTGAAGGTTGCAGTGAGCTATGACTGAGCCACTGCACTCCAGCCTGTACAACACAGTGAGATTCTGTCTCTAGAAAAAAAAAAAAGTCTGATTTTCTTCTCTTAACAAAAGAGTACATACTACTCAAGGTGGAGAAATAATGATTTGGCTCTTACTCCATACAGGGCCCAACAACATACCATTAAATTACAAAGGAGGCTGGGCACAGGGACTCCTGCCTATAATCCCAGCACTTTGGGTGGCCAAGGCTTGAGGACTGTTTGAGCCCAAGAGTTAGAGACCAGCCCAGGCAACATAACAAGACCTCATCTCTACAAAAAAAAAAAAAAAAAAATCAAAAAATTACCCAGGCATGGTGGTGGTTGCATGTAGTCCCAGCTACGTGGGTGGCTGATCACTTGAGCCAGGAGCTTGAGGGTGCAGTGAGCCATGATCATGCCACTATACTCAAGCCAGGGTGACAGAGTGAGACTCTGATTCAAAAAATAAAATAAAATAAACTACAAAGGAATTTCTAGCTGAAAACTTTGGCTTTAATTGAAAGGTTAATTGGGTGCACCAACAATAACCCAATTTTTTAGGTAATCTAACTGAACTTCCAAATAGAAGAAACAGGTAATTCGGTCCATTGGGACACAGAAGTGACTCTGCACATTTTCCTCATTGTTAGGGACAGTGTCTATGCCACAGGCACTTAACATCTACAACCAATCCTCAATTCAAGGAACATCACATCCCTAACACATTTTGGTTTATTAATGACAGCAGTTAAATTAAAGGACCTGAAAGAAATTTTTAATGTAGATATTCATTAACAGAAAAAATGCTATGCTAAATATTAAGAAGCATATTACATTGTTCCAAGTAAAAGCATTTATATTCTAGAAATCCACACTTCATACAAAAATTATTTAGCACATTATTGTGCACCAGAAGTCAAAGATGAGTTTAGTATGTCAGTGTTTAAGACAGGACACCATAGTCATGGGTTTGTTATTCTTCTGAGCTCCTAAATCTCAAGC